TCTGTAGCATAAATGAATAAACAAAGAAACACAACTAAAATTTACAGCGTAAACCAAGTAGAGTTACCTGAATGGTGAAAACATCTTCAACTGGCATCAAAAAAGGTTTATCAAGTTGACGTACGGGATCAGGAATGTATGAATCTACAGCTTCCATTAGCTTCAAGATAGCCTTCTTTCCAATTTCTTCGTTTGAACCCTCCAAAGCAGACAAAGCTGATCCTCTGACAATGGGAATGTCATCTCCAGGGAACTTATAAAAGCTAAGCAATTCTGCAAGTATAATGAAGTGTTGTAAAATGGGTCCATCAAAAAGAACAACATCAAGCGATCCAAACCAAATTCTAAATTTAGTTTACCACGCAGCTCCATTTCAACAAGTTCCAGCAGCTCTGGGTCATCAACAGCATCAACTTTATTAAGGAAACACACGAGTGAGGGCACACCGACCTGCAACACCAGTGAATGGTTGATAATGCAATACCAAAATGGAGAAGCAAATCTTCTACGTTCTAATTTATGCAACAGGCTTCTGTAAGTCAATTCATGTCAATTTGAGAACCTGGCGAGCAAGTAGAATGTGTTCTTTAGTTTGTGGCATTGGCCCATCTGGGGCAGATACTACAAGAATACCCCCATCCATTTGAGCAGCTCCAGTAATCATGTTCTGTATTAAAGATTTAAAACCAGAGGAAAATTAATTATTTGAGTATTCATGTGTAACATGATCAGCATGTTTGGTATATAACATTTCATGAAGCTATGTTAAACAAACAGCACGAGGCTATGTTGAACAAACAACAGACTGCGACTGACAAAAAGTGCCATAGGCGATATGTCACAAAAGGTTCATCCAAATTCTAAATTGGATAATTTTTTTCACCTGTGGAGCGTGGGTTGAGAAGGAAGACCAGGTTCATAGATAAACCAAGTATAACTGAGTGGAAACGAAAAATAAAATGAAAAGAAATTCCATAGACAATGTGATCGCCAAACTGATTTTACTGATCCAGAAACATATTGAAGGCTAACCAATAACCTAGTACTTTCCTTGAAATAACTCTGACTAATCACCTTGACGACCATACAATAAACAAGGAGCTATCATATTAAATAAAGAAAAACAAAAATTATTATAAAATGCATATTAACATAAGCCTTTTCCAGTCTCACCTTAACATAATCAGCATGCCCAGGGCAATCTACGTGTGCATAATGCCTTTTGGCAGTTTCATATTCTACATGTGCCTGTGAAATCAACACAAACCGGGATTATGAATTGAACATACTCAAAGCAAAAGTACATTTGTCAGGTCGTGGAGCAATAATAGAGAAGAAACAGCAAAGACTCCTAACTGTGGCAATTGTAATCCCTCTCTTTTTCTCCTCGGGTGCTTTATCAATTTCATCAAAGGCAACAGCTTTTGCCTTACCTTCTTCTGCTAAGACCTTCATAGAAACATAGGAAATGAATGTCAATGGCCAAACAAGTAAAAGATACATATATTAGGTAATATAAGTAAAAATGAAAAGAACATTAGATAAGAACAATAGTATATTACGATTAAGAAATGTGTATTCTACCTTGGTGATTGCTGCAGTTAGGGTGGTCTTTCCATGATCAACATGTCCAATTGTTCCCACATTCACATGAGGTTTTCTGCATTCAAGCAAGACATCACTAAATTACTAGGAAAAAAAAATCCAGATGATATTTAAGTTTGGGAATCAGTTTTTCCAAGCATTCTTCAACCTAAAAACATATTACACGTCCAAAATAAAAAAATTATCTTCTTTCAAACAGATTTCACAGTATGAAATGCGAAAACTGCACAGACTACAACATTTTCTTAGATATCATCAAAACACGAAAAAAAAAATCACGTATTTAGAAATGCCATTTAAAACTTCGTACCAAATGACATGAGACCAATCGAAAGAGCNAAAAAAAAAAAAAACATGTTAGAGTATGCGCCTTACGTGCGAGTGAAGGTAGCCATGGATCTCCACCAAGGGTTCGGAGCCTGAACCGAATCGATCGGCGATTCAACGGCGGAGACGGCGGGTCCTCGGCAGCATGGCGAGCAAATTCGCGCCGACAGCGTGAAGACCCGCCTCGCCTTAGAATTTCTGACCGCTACAGACGCCATTTTTAGCAGTAGTAGAGTGAGAGATAGATTGACAGTGGCGATTTGGAGAAGAAGGGTTTTGGAAGCTATCAGGGTTTTAGAAAATTTAGGGCTTTTCGAGGCTTCAAGCTGCTTATTACGACGTCGTTTTTGCGTTCAGCGGGTTGTTAGTGGGCTTTGTTTTTGTAGATCTGTGGACTTCCTTTCGGCCCAAGTAAAATGTATTTGGAAAGTCTACTGTGGCACAATTAACAGTTGGATTTTAATTTGGAGTAATAGAAATAATTAAGTTTGGATTGATAAAAATAATAAAATAAATAATTATTGATATATGCCGATGTTGTAAAACGTGCTACGGAAATAAATATTACTATAACGGACAATTTTAAGGACAAAGTGTTGCCTTATATCAATCGGGCCAAGTTTAAATTCAGAACGACAAAGGTTGGAGATGTGGAAAGGATTTCTAGTTTACTTACGACTAGATTTTTTGTTTGTGTCTTGTTATCGATCTTTTAACTATTTTCTTGAATTTCTTTTACTCCCTTGAAGTTTGCTTGCATGAATAAGTTTAATTTTCAGTTTTCAGTTGTGATCAAGTATTATTTGTGACAAATAAACAAACAACAAAAAGGTGGTTTTATGTAATTATGACAGACGGAAAGTATGTATTTCAAAAAACATGTCTACAATGTAGTTGTTTTGTGTAAATTTCTTGATTTTCCCAATAATTGTTTGGAGTCTTTTTGTGAACTTGTCGAGAAATGGTTTTGGTTGATGAAGTTGGGCCTTGGGGTTTACAATAAAAAAAAAGGATCTACCCATTTTGGTAGCCCGTTTCAAGCGTTCTAACCAAAGCCCAACTGAGAAAGCCCAAACAGATCCTGTAAGTTATAATAGTCCAACAATAACTATGACCACTAACTTAAAAATGTGCAAAAAGCAAATTACATAACTTCGTGGGGCAAAAAAATCAAATAGGTACCAAGGTAAGTTGTTAATGGCTTTTAGAACTTTGAGTGAAAGTGACAGTGAAATGTCGTAAGACATAAATATAATTTCATTTGTCAGTATTCTATCATCTGAAAAGGCTGCAACTTGTGTGACAAGTAGGATCCTTCTTTTTTTAAGGTTTTTTCACATTATTTGTGTTATTTATGTACAATCAATTGTATAAATTTGGAGTTGACTTGTATTCACCCCACATCCTCATATACAATGTAGATAACATTGTATGAGATATATTTTTCCTTCCAACAAAGTAACTTCTTATTTTTTTCTAAAACTATGTGTGAAAACACGAATNTATTCCTTTTTAACAAAATTACTTCCTTGTGTTAAAAACATGTCATACTTTTTTTTTTTTTTTTTTTTTAAATGTTGGCTTTTTATAGTATGTCACCAGAACCTTAGTCAACGTTTAGGGGGCATGCTTTCTTGATTTGGGGTAACAGAAAAAACATATAAAATGGAATCACAACTGAAATTAATATTTAATCCCAATAAATAATAGTACTACCTGGCCCAGATATCTAAACAGATATTTCTTTTGTTTCCCATTATTGTTTTGTATTTTCCATTTTGTATGCACCTTTTACAGATAGTACTTAATATTTTTTAATTTCTACTCAATTATTTTATACCTCATTGTTATATATAACCCACAGCCCATAACTTTTCCTTTTTTTTTTTTCATTTTTTTGAGTAAAATTGATAATCTGATATGTTATTTTTATTAGAATAGTTGTTAAGTTGTGACGAGAGGGTCAAATCCTAACATGTAAAATGATGTCATTATGTGTTGTGTAAGGGAACCTGTCTTATTTCGACTTGTATAATATATATACTAAACAAATATATATTACAATGATTTAAAATTTGACCAACACTGCCACACAAAGAATGAAAATACAAATTGGGTTTTCTTATTTTTGAAAAGACACTTTCCTTCGTTGCAACGTGTACGTGTTATCTTTAAAAGTTCAATCAGCAAAAATAATTGTATAAAAAAATTATTTTGTTAATTGAACCATAGTTTTAGATATAATTAAATAAGTTAAGATAATACTTAATATTATTTTTACATTCATTTTACAATGCATAATAATTAAGTTAATATTTGATTAATAATATCAAAATAAAACCCAAATATTAACCTTCCAAAATTCGGAATCAACAAAATAGGCGCAAAAAAAATATTTTCAAGTGTAATTATGAGTCTATTGTTGTTATATGTATAGGGTTGGTTCAAATAAAAAGTATATATATATAGATATCAAATAACAATATATAAACTATTCATATAAAAATTATTTGTTAATTGAGCCATACTTTTAAATTAATGTGCAACATATATTAACGAAGACAAATATGTATATAAGTTTGCGTATGACTTTCAATTACAACTGCTTATATTAGACAATCTATTATACGAAAATGTATGAATTTGTGTAGTATTTCAATTAACAGTATTGATGTTAGACTGTCTAACTATTAGACAATTATAATTTATTAACTAAATTGCGTACTAATATCGTAGACTGTCTAACTATTAGACAATTATAATTTATTAACTAAATTGCGTACTAATATCTAAATCAAAAGTAAGTTGAAGAGAAACTAGTAAGTAGCCCGTACGATGCACGGAACAGAGATATTAAATAATTAATTTTCATAGAGTCCATAGAGCTTGTCCATTGAACCCTAAAAAATAATAGAGTTGAATCATCTATTTTCCACTTATTTTCATTAGCGTCACTTTTTTGTCGGAACGTAAAACTGAGTCTGTTAGCGCTAGCCATAAACTAATAAATAAATTTGTTTTTAGTATATATATTTATTCCTTGATATAAGAAAAATAACAATTTTACTTATTCTTGTTCCTCGTGTAAAATTGTGCAACATTATATAAACATGTTGATTTAAAATTAGTACAAACCCCTACGGTGCATGTAGTTAATAATAAATTACATTATATTTATTTCAAAATAAGTGTCATTTTAAAATGTGTATTCATAAATTTAATTTGACTGCAATTTTATTCAATAAAATAATTATTTTGGTAAAATTTTATCTTATATTTAAAAATTGATGTGATAGTAAGTACAATTATAAAACTTAAGTTGTTCCACTTATTAAAATAAATTTATTTTTGTATAAACAATCCAAATCAAAAAATTTAAGTAGTTGAGTAATTTATTAAACTATAAATAATTGACTATGTCATTTACATCCAAGTTAAAAAAAAAATCTTATAGATTTCACACACATATACACACACACACACACACATATATATATCTAGCAATTTTCTAAATTTGTTGTCGTTTTCCTTATCTTTCAAATTTATAAAATAATTATCTAGAATTAAATTACAAATTTTAAATTTTATTAACCAATACTTGTTCAATAATCTTTTTGTCAAGAGGAATACATACTAATTTGTCGAATTATCATGTTATTAAGGGAATATGCTAAAATTTGAGAATCATATCACCTTAATTTTATAACAAATCAATCTAAAATTCTACTTTCATACCCATACCAAGTAAAATTCATACCACTTATTTTGTTTTTAAAATTTCTAAATACACTTCTATCCTATCAAAAAAATAAAAAATAAAAAAATCATACCATTAAAATTCAGACATTTCATACTAAAAAAAATTCGCCCACTTTATATCATAAATTCATACATTTCTTAATAACAACACATTTGCTACAAAAAATAAAAATGGTCATCACATACATCAAATAAAATCGTCCACTTTATACCAAAATCGAATTTATTAATTTTGTCAATTTTATACCATAAATTTATTAATTAATTTCTAGAGGCAGTATTTTTTAATTTTTTTTTTAAATATTACCAAGTTTAATAATTTTATATTTTTTAAGCGAGATTTTAGTTTCTATTTCAAGTAAATATAAATTATATATATATATATATATTTATTTTTTTTTTAATAACGTAAACATAAAATTCATATGATCAAAATAATCTTCAACTCTTGTTGCACCTCTCATTCCAAATCTTTGATGTATTTTTTGAAAGTCCAATATCACACAAGCAAAATGAACTTTGTTTTTTAAAAAAAAAAATCTTCAATGCTATTAATATTAAATCATATGAAATGGATGTGATGTAACTACAAGTAAAATATACATAATTTAATAGAAGTGCAATTCAAATCTCATAGTAACTACCAAAAAAAATAAAAATCATTATATTTTCAATTCAACTTTCTTCATAAAATATTGTGCATTGGAGTGATAATAAAATTTATTTATCTACATTATGCCACACCATAATTAGCATTGGAGTGTTAATATAATCTTGTATGGTTAAATAGTTTTTTTTATGTAGACAGTGATCTCTCTTAACAAACGCCACATTTTTAGGCCACCATTTAATGCTGGCTGTTTTGAAGTGAAACAAAAAAAATATAAAAAAACTTTCTATAAATAGTATGTAATTAATGTTTGACCAAAATTTGACTTGCCATTTTTAAAAAATGGTAATTCTTATTATATATATATAGATGTGAAATTAGACATTGCTAATTTAATTTTGTAGCCCACATGAAATTCATGAAACTTGGTATTAAAGGTGATTATAAGTTTGGTGGTTGAAAACAATAGGCCCCGTGAAGTACTTGCAGAGGTTCATGGGATTCATTTGTTTTTCGTCCATTCATTATGCTAACTGCAAATATTAAAGTTTTTCTTCTAAAATAATAAATTGGAATCAAATAAAAATTGATGTCAATAACATTATATTAGAAACTATAACAAAATGAACAATAGCATGATATTATAAAAATATAAATATAATAGGACTGAGTAACATGTGAAATCATATGAATTGTTATGATAGATTGATAATCAGAAAAATGCAACGGGAACTGTGATATGAAGAGAAATAAATATAATGTTTATATACTCTTTTTCTACTTTTATATCTTGATCTATCTATTATCATTATTATTATCATTATCATTATTATAATAATAATAATAATAATAATAATAATAATAATAATAATAATAATTATAGGCTAAAAATGTTAACCCCAATATTCAGTCACATCACCAAGAATGGTCTGAAGTGTGACTCGAACCTTCCATTTCGTAGTTGGTTATGATACGCAAAATTTATAACATATGGTCCAAATTTTGTATTCAGAATTTGAACTTA